AAAGTTAAATGTGCTCCTAGTAGTGAAATGTGTTTGCTGGATGAACTAGCACTAGACAGGGGCAAATTACAGAGCTAGCAAAGCCAGCGGGGCACAAAGGAGGATACAGAGCTGTGCCTTCCCAGAGCAATTCCTGTGACGGAGTCAATGGAGACGTATGTGATCATAATAGCAGAGTCAAAATGAAGGTATTTGTTGGAGATGTGGCTGAGATACTGGATTCCAAAGGGAGGTGGTGTGAGTGGGACAGACATACCATCAACCTCCTGCAAGAGAAAGTGGAGAACCAGGGGAGGCAGAGCACTGGGCAGTCAGCACTGTGGGCCAAGAAGTCAAGGCCAGCAATAATGTTTTAGACAGACATTTTGAGGTAAAGCTGGAGGTGCAATCTATCATTTAGTTTGAACTCTTCCAGGAGGTGTAAGTGTATTATTTAGTATTAGCTAATTTAAGAATAGTAGTGAGTAATCAATGGGGTTATCATTAGATATCAATATGAGCAGAACTTAACTAATAAAAGCGAACAACAGAGGCAACATGTGTTGACTTAGCTTTTAGATGGGCTAATGAGAACTTCAAAGACCAGAAAACTTGGGACTTTCTCAAGTCACAAAAAACAGTTTAAGCACAAACTAACCAACAGGTATGTTGACCTTACTCAGATTAAGATTAGATGGCATGAATCATACCTTATTGTTTTACATAGATTGGATTTATTTTGCTAGTGACCAAGGTAACAGAAACAGGATCGTGCATTCAACCTGCACCCAGGGAAAGGTTTTATCTGCAGATATTCTGCAGCCTTGTCTGAATCCCTTGTCAGACTTCTAGGAAATAACTTTTACATTTATGTAAGAACATTTATTTTTGTTTTCATTTTATATCCCTGTAATCTCCAGTTTCATCTCACCGTCACACAAATTTCCCGTGCCATATCATTAGTACGCTGTTCCCAATTTACTCATTGTACTGAGGGCACAACATACCAAGTAAAGCTCCTTCCATTACTGTAAAAGCCTGTCTCTGGGTGACTCTCCTGAACCCTCTGGTTCCTAGTGACTACCTGGGATAAAGAGAAGAGTCACTGCATTCTAGGTGCCAGACAAGGACCGGGAAATGGCTTTGCAGGGCTGTAAGGTTGGCTGTTTGAGGTGGTGTGAAAGGAGAAGTCTCTTCCTTTTATACCTCCTGCACTGTTCAGTAGGAAGAGGCCCAAAAGCATGACATCCAGATGTGTCACCAGGACTGAGGCCAGAAGCTCATCCATTCCCAGCATCAGGCTGTATTTCACAGGAGATACAATCTGTATGAACCAATAAACCTCTGCAAAGCAAAGCAACACTTTGCTTTGTACTCCATACCTGTGACGCTTTGCAAAGTCTACTCCACAATTGCCAAATGTCTTCTTGCAAGATCTCAGACCTTCCCCTCCCACTTTTTTGTAATCAAACCTTATTACCTTTATCACAGAGAAAACCATGCTGCTGAGAAGCCTCAAGCAGAACTAAATGGGAAAGAGCAAGAGGAGTACTCTTTCCAGCTGCCAGAGTTAAGCCACGTTCTGCCTTAGTCACCCTCAATACAAGTGCTCCTCTCTGTTCCCATCTTTCCACACTAGATTTAATGTCTACACAAAATACCCTTTGTTCTGTATCCAGCGACATACCAGCTTCTCTTTGAATCTGCTCACAGGCTCACCATCCCTTCTGGCATCAAATCCGCACTTTCGCTTTCAAGCTTCCACATGCCACGACACCCGTCTGCTTTCCTTCTCTGGTTTCCCTTGACTTTTTTCATTCATAGTCCCTGGTTTTCTTTTGTTGATTCTCCTTACAGTGCTCTCTCACCTGTACTTATTTGCCCCACACAAAGTCTTCCTCTTTTACTCACATTACAATCAAAGTCCACTGAAACACGGACTGTCACTGAACACTGATGTTAGGATGCACTAGCTTAAGTGCTGAGCAAACTACTGATGGTTAAACGATAATGAAGGGAGAAGACAACAGGAAGGATTGGAAGCGGGAAATGGGTAAACAAAGGGTAAGAGAGAGTATTGTGAGTAAGCAATAACCACGCAACATGAACAGAACCTGGGAGAAGTTGAACTTTCAGAGTAGGAGGAGGTAGCAAATGATAAGGAGAAAGTGGAAAAGTGGATACTGATTCAGAAGTGGATACTTAATTTAAAAGAAAAGGGCATAATTTTCATATTAATAAACTTGAAGTTACTAATAGGGTCAAAAAGACTGTCAGCAACCTTTGCCAGCTTTACACTGGTGATTTATGACTGTTTAGAACACTTTCTCGACACTCCCCAGAAAAATGAGAACAGCATCCTTTTTTCTGAAGAAATGTCCTATTGGGGTGAAAGAAATTAAGGACAGTGACCTGACAGTTTAGGATCTAATTCTGATGACTAATTCACGGCTATCTTCTGTTTTTCCAATATGTATTTGTAGATGGGTGGCGCTGGTGTGAAGTTCATTCCTAGAAGGGCATTCACTGGGACTCTCACTACACCCAAACACTGCCCCGGCACCTTCCCTCTGCCTCACTTACTCAATAAGAGAGGAAATCCACTGGCCTATTTTAAGGTCATGGCTCAGGAAGGCACTCTCATCACATTTTTAATGTATAACTCAGTAGGATGTTAGCACTGTATGTTTTTTAATCTCTAAGTTAATACAGCACAAAATTGTATTAAAAGATCATTATGTTGGAAGGCACAGTGAGGTTAGGAAATACTGGATTGAAGTTGCCTGCACATCCTGACTGCTGAACTGCATCATGATACAGTCTTAGCTACACAACTGCACACTCGCCCTCTGAGCATCAATACAATATTTCTTTGTCTTCATTATCTACTGTGGCCCAATCTCTACTTCCTGCACACTACTCAAAACCTGTGCTGAACACAGAATTATTAATTTTATAAAGGTTTTCTTCATGGCATTATCTTGATTCTTTATAAAAAGCCATGAGTTTGTTTTCTCAGTGACAACCTGAGGTGAAGGGATGGTATCGCCCTATATTACAGATGGGGAACTAAGGCAAGAGTGTTGTAGGTGTGCACTGCTTGTAAGAGATCAAGCAGAGAAGGCTGACACTTGAATTTTGGAAGTCATGAGTACAATATAGACCTTAATGATCCAAAGAAGATCTCTACTGGCTTTAGATACATCTTTGAGCATTCAGCATGCCTGAAAAATCAGTTTCCACATTGGGAAAAAGCAGAACATACAATACATCAATGACCGTATCATAAATCTCTGCTGCTTCTACGTCTAATATAAAGTCTGAAGTTTGTCATTCTCTGTGGGAACTGAGAACAGACAAATAAGGTAACATTCATTTTGTCCACAGGTTTCATGAGTATTTATTATGCTAAGTGGATTAGTGAGATGATGGTCCTCAGTTCAAGCCCAGGTTTTGCAAGTAAATGCTCACAGACCCTTAACCTCCAAGCTCTATTCCTCTGCAGCCAGATTTCTTCTGCCTTTATATTTGTCCTATTCCCACCTCTCACATACCTGTTTCTGCTATGGGCCTTCATCCCTGTTTCCCTGCAGGCTCCTTATCCCAAATGCTCCCTCTTCCCACTGCCTCCCTCTTTTTGACCCTACATTCTCACCCACCTTTTCCAGGCTCCTGGTGCCTGCTGTGTTTCAGCTCCCAGTTCTCTGCTGCCTCATGTTCCTGGCCTCTTTGCTCAGCCAGCCCTCAAATGCTTGGTCCACAGCTCCCATGCCCAGTTTTAAGCCTCATGAATTTCTCAATGGATTTCCTCTACAGTCCAGCACAGCTCCTACTCAGTGGTTTACCCGTTCTACACCCAGATTTGAGAAAAGAGAATCTCCCTCATTCCCAGCTTCCAGTTGCAAATCTGGTGCCACAGAAACCCTTGGCAAGAATGAAGTCTGGGCTATGTACAAGGTGAAGAGTATTTCAGGTCACATGGATAAACTTTAACTGAAAGCAATAAACACCAGGAAATTTGATCATAAGCAGCAATTCCAGATCAACCTTTTCTGGCTTCAGCCTCAACCTGTCCACCCTGTAATTAAACCCTGAATACACCCCTTTCGCTGAGGTTTTAAAAGACAAATTTAAAATGTTTAGATGATAACCGTTTCTATGAAAAGGAGCATACCACAAAAACCACCAACAAATTAATGAGTAAAAAAGCTTTAGTCCAGTTTGGAAATTTGCATAAGGAAAAGTAGTCTGGAAAAAGCATAAGGTCCAGCCTGGAAATGTGATGATGCTTTTGGATGAACGTTTAGTATCACTAACATGAGATTTTGTAAATACAGTAAGAAAAACCTGATGTATCAATGAAATTTTTCACAACTAGATCAGTATACAACATTTCAGCCTTCCAGTCAAATTCTTTTTTCACTCCTGCTCACAACTGATATGAATAGATACAACTTTTGGAGCAGAGTCCCATGCTGACTAACGTAAAAGGCAAGGGGAAAGCAGATGTGCTCTAGCAACCAAAAAACTTTTAAGAAAAACCCTGGAACACCCTCCAGGCTCACAGTCGTCCTGCTGCACACTCGGTTCAAAGCCTACTTCGTCCTATCTGCATAAGTGTGGACTGATTGCAAGACTAATAATTGTACTATTTGCATTTGGCAAAAGTTCAACATCTGAAACACTAAAACGCAGTCCCCATTTCTGCGGCTTCCCCGTGTGCTCCTGGACCACTAGATGGCACTTCCCCATTGACAAACGAGGGCTCTTGTTACCTGTTTGCTCCTGCCCAGCAGCTGTGTCAAGCACAGTTGAGGCACGCATCTGCCTTTGCATGTCGTCTGCCGCACGGACTTCTGGTCAACAAGAGTGGCTCCGGGCCAGCGTCCTATCTGAAGGACATGCAGCTTTGCACTTTTAAATGGCGACAGAAGAAATTTCCACAAGCACGCTGAAGGGTGCTAAATACTGAACACAGGCCTTATCGACAAAAGAGGTTCTTCACGTCATATCTTACTTACCCAGAACTTTACGAGGAAGAAAGCATTTTGGGGCCCCTTCCCAAACAGTTCCTTCAGACCGCCCTTCTTTTCAGGAAATTTGTCATAAATCTGACGAATGTCCACTGATTCAAGCAACGGGTCACTGTAAGAATGGTTAGCGTGCCCAATGTGTACGAAGAGGTGTTTATTGTACTGCAAGAAAGAAACAGGAAAATCAGTGCTGTACAAAAAGAACAGAAGTTTATTACGGCACGGGTCCGCGTGTGCTCCTGCAGAGGGTAGTGCGCTTTGATGGATTAAACGACTTGCATGTTACTCCTGGGACCGTGATTTTCTGCAGTGTGATTTCCATGAACAACTTTAGTGATTGTGTAATAGCCCCTTGTGAACAAGGGTCAACATCAAAAAACCTGTGTCTCTACTGCAAACCACAAAACACGGTCATCTTCAAGGGATTAATTTACACTGAAAGACCCAGCGGCAGCACAGTGATAAAGAGACCTCACGGAGTGTAATAAGATGAATATGCTCACGAGCAAAGCCTACTTTTGCCTCTGTAAACCATGCCTCTTAATGTCCCATGTCCTCAGAGCCTGAATTTCCACTAGCACCAACAGAGCCCACACATACACACCTCCTGTTTGCCTATCAAAACCCCCCAAACTTCTATCTATAGCGTATGCTAATGCTACTTAACTAAAAGAGATGGAAGGGATTTTCTTTTAACTTTAGAATGGCAATAATAAGGCGGCCAGTTGCTCTGTGTTGCTGTTCCTATAGAAGTGGTCCTCATTGTATGTCCTCCAGTATTTTGACCCATGTAATATTAAAGAGACAAATTTTTACCACTGCCCTCGGGAGCTAGCTCTATAGATGACCATCTCTGCCAGAACACATTCAGCTTCAATTTCCTATTTCTTAACTTCATCCATCACGCCTCATTATAATCATGGGAATCACCTCAGCAACCCCTTCCCTGCCTGGGGGAAAACCTTGGCCCAGTGAAGTCCACAGCAGCCCCCTACTGAGTCCAGTATGGTCTTTCAGGGGCTGCCCTTTCTCCAAGATGAGAGCGCCTTTCAGCACCTGAAATGAAAGCGGAAGGACGAACCCCGAAGACCCTTCGCCTGTCAATTAGCTGCTCACAGTGTCATGCGAGCAGAGCGAAGGAGCTCAAGAGTGGCAGGATTAAACATTTGGGGTTTTAACCATGCAGATCACAAAAGATTTTGCTAACTCGATTAAAGGAAAGCTGATATGCAGTCAATGCACACTAGAAAACGCTGTCATATCGAGCAGATGCTGTATATAAGGGGCAATTCCCAAATGCTAAGTACAAATAAAATATTTAAAACCCTAAAGCAGACCTCATTTAAGCTATTTTGTTTACAATATACCTGCCGAATGAACAAATTGAAATGACAAATCTAAATTAATTGGACATCCACTCAGAGCCTTCCTTCGGTGTAAGCAGTGTCTTCCCTAGCAGATGTCCAAAACTCTGGGGAGAAGGAAAAGGACTGGCTAGATTTCTGCACTTAGGAAATTAAATTGAAAATCTATTCAAAAATCATCTAGCACAGTGAAATCTGAATTTAGAACCAGGGAACACTCATTTGTGTATGGGGCCAAAAATGAGATATGGTCCATGCTTTTTACAGGGTTGTATTTCTTTTTTAATTTTGTGGAAGGAAAAAGGGAAGCAAACCACATTATTTAGTTGTTTGCACAAGCAAGTCCAAGTCTGAGAGCACCGGTTCCATGGATTTTCCTTGTAGCACTCTTTCAAAATAATACCAAGCCAGCCTCTTCTATGCACAAGTGGAAAACTTGCCCAGCCTTCAGTTAGTGCATGTGGAGCCCAAAAGGGGCAGAGGTGATCCAAAGCAGCTGCTTCTTCCTTGAAGAGGAAAACAGGTACGGCAGAGAAAGAAACAGGCAGTGGGGAGCTGAATGAATGTGTGCAGGAGTAAGCGTGCCCACGAACACATGCCAGCTAGCCCTCACCTAGCACGGGGTTAGCTTGCACACTGACCATTTACACCCGGTACAGGGAATCATCGCACTGGCTGGCAACCACGAGTGCCTACCGTAACAGTGTCCGTGGACAGATTTAGCATGTTGCTCTACCCAGCAGTGGCAGAAGTGGATTAAGGAGACTTTTTAACATGACAAAACAAATAAACCAAAAAAATGCACCGTGGTACCAACTTTCGTTTTTTTTGACACTGTTGTCACATATTTAGCTTGCACTACTGTAAATAACTAAAAGTCATGCTGAACATTTCTTATGTATTTTGCTGCCTACTGAAAACTTAGATCTCAGTAAAATGTATCAGCGCCCCATATACCTTTGAACTGCCAGGAATATAAGAAAGTAAGTCCAGAAACCTGCTCCTGTTGCTTTCCTACGCTACCAGGGGTGAAGTGCAGGAGCACAGGGCACACACTGAGTCACTGAACATGGCTATCAATGGAAGCCTTTCTGCAATCAGGCAAACATCTCAGTTTTTCAAGTAGAATAATGAGAATTCCCTGGTAGAGGTAAACACTTCAGCATTCTCTGAAAAATTAAACCGAAACATTTCCCTTCCCCCAGCAACCCTGTAGCCTGCATGGGAGGGCCCAGCAGTTGTGCTCTCCCTGGGGATGTGAGATGTCCCAGAGCATCTTTCTGCTCTCCCTCACTCACAGTAAGGGCTTGAAAAACCATTCCCACCATTAGTGACCAGGTTATTATTTATTTTGAGATTGTTTCCTCTCAGTCTTCTCTGCTGGAGTTGTTTCAGATTGTACAAAGCAGCACATTTTTATAGGGACAGAACTGAGGGCTCAGGTTCTCCTGTGCCCAGGAAAGTGTCCTCCCCAAAAGGCTGTCTCTCCCAGGCCCAAAGGTGGCTATAGAGTGAAGGAGGAAGGGAGAGCTGTATTGTCCCAAGACAATTCACACAATGTACCTTATTCTGCAAACCAGGAAAATATACAAATTGTTCAGTATCTAAACTTCAGTAAAAGCAAACACATTTATAGGAACATGGAGCATGAAGTCTTAATACTGTTTAAATATAAAAGCAAAGTTAAAGGCAACTGTAAAGTTACCACAGTTGTCTGCAGAGCTCGCCAAAGTACCAGATGCTGCTGCAGCAAAATTTCCGAGCTGGTACAGTAGGACAGATGGTATGACATCACCTGACAATATTCTTAGGACAGAAATGTTTATTTTGATATTGCAATGTGTGATTATTTTCTCCTTATGTTGCTGCAATTCCTATGCTAAGTACAATCATTACTAACTTAATTAGATGTGGCATATTTCTACGAACTAACAAATGATAATATAATATACAGAGCAGGGTAAATAGATACTGAAATGTTCCCTATCATTTTCATACAAACATACTCCATGATACGAATTTATGCATAGATAAAAGCAAAGAAGGTAAGTTTTGTGCCTATATTTCTGAGCCTATTAGTGTCTGAAAAGCCTAAAACATCTTCATTATACTGAGAATTCATTGTTATTTTAGACTGAGTCATTGAAGCACATTAGGTGCTGAGAAATTTACTCATGCAACAGCATTTAAAGGATTTGCATCCGACATTGGGGTAATAATGTGCTTTAGATGCTGTAAACTATCATAGGTCAAATCCTGTATTTTCTGAGGATAAAAGCTGCATAAAAATACAAAGAAAATTTTCAGCTGTCTTCAGCGTCTGCATTACACAACATGCCCTGGAGATGGCTGCCTCTTACTGAGCTCCTTTCCTTAAAAAAATTCTAACTATCCAAAGAATGCAGTAAAGCCATGAAATATGACTGTTGTCAAATAATACCACGAGAAAAATTATAATCCACTTAGGAATTTAGAAGAACCAAGACAAATTGCCAATGGCAGGGGATGCAAGCATTTAAGCTGGTGCAGAACAAAGACGAACCACCTACATTTGTTTTATCAGCCAGCATATATATTTGTAACAGCTCCTCGCCAATTTTGCACTCATATTCTGAGGCAACAGCCTTTCCAGTCCATGAAATGCAGGTTTGCAAACTGCTACAGCTCTCTGCTGCACCCCTGTGCTTCTCCACACCTGTGGAGCTAACACCAAGCCTTGACAAGCCTGTATAGGGCCAAGTTTTTTATTAAACAGTGGTGGCCAAGATGCAGATGGCAGTGAAGCCAATCCTCTCATGCTCCTGGTGCAGGTGAGCTGTGCATGCCAACCTGCTGGGTGACCTGCTCCATTGCTGCTCCTGTCCTTTGGGGCTCTGTGGCCCCACATAACCATGCTGAGCAGCACGCAGGGGGCAAGTGGCTCCCTGGGCCCTGCCGAGGCTGGGTAACATGGATTGGAGCAACGTGGAGGGCAGGTGGCCCAAGAGAGGGTCCTCAGCAGCTGCTTCTCTAGGGATAACCTTACTCATGGGCCCAGCACCCTCCCGCTGCACCCCACCCTGAATCACACTCACATGCCTGGGAGTCATCCCCACACCGGTGTGGGCAGTGTAAGCTCCTCTGCAAACACCCCTGGCCCTGCAGCAGGACAGTGAGCACATGGGACAGTTGAGCAGGACAGGGAGGTGGCAGCAGCCCACTGCCTCGTCTGCCCTGCACGGCCTAACAGCACCTTGCTAACTGGGCTGCTTCACAAGATCTGCAAATTTAAAGAATAACCACCATGAGGGTGAGGTCATCTATGTATCATTCCTTGCAGCAACAAATCCCTATAAGAAAATACCATGAGGAGAGGCTGGCAATCTGAATGGATTGTAGTCTTGTGTGCCCAAAGAAACTCCATCACCCAAAGGAGAAGTACACCAAAAAGGCTCTGCTGCAGGTCTTCTCTCTCCCTGACACAGAGGGACAGCCTCTTGGCTCTCTTTGGACTGAATATATTCTGTACTGGAGGTCACAAGGACCACTGCCACAGCTCAAAGGGACAGGGGAGTGGAGGGCAGGTGGGACAGCCTGAGCTTTCGCTGAAATGAGAGAAAACAGTACTGCTGTTCGAGTGCCTGGCACAATGCAGAGATTCCCTCTGTACCTCCACAGACTGGTCCAACCCACCTTTCAAAAATGTATCACGGCATGTGCAGCAACCGTGCTTTTGGAGGAAAAAGGAGCCAGGTGGAGTGGACTGATTAAAAAACAATCACTAGTATATCAGCAGTCTGCATGTGGCTCTAACCTGTA